CTAGAAAATTGCCAACAACTGGAAAAACAGTTTTTCGATATAGGTACACGTTTTCTGCCTTATTCTCTACAAGTTTTACTTTGAACATTTTCGCCTAAAATTAATAGTTTTGCCACCCATTGCAAAACCACTTTCCAACCCCTTTAAACCCCTGCGATTTGGCCCGCGGAAAAATTTAGCTGTTTTAATTATTTTACCCTAATTTGTAACATTTTACCTACTCACCCGTCCCGTTGTTTCGTTGGCTGTACTCTTGGTTTGAGTGCGCTCTTTGTGTGTTATTAGTTGGTACCGTTGGTTTTGAGAAAACATCACTTTTGCTTGTGTGAGTCATAAAGCTAAAGCGAGAGCTAAAGTTATATAAATTATTTATCTAAGCGTATTTACGTAAATAGGGATTGGTTGTATCTATTCGAGGTAAAGTTATTTTCATAGGGTTCCCTATTTAGTTAACACATTACTTTTTAGGATATACCATATGTTTTAATTTAATTACCTATATCGTAATCTGGAACCCATTTATTAGTGGGGCACGAATTAATTGGATTTTAGTGCTGCAATTTTTTGTGTACTTTATGAGCATTGGGCTGGTTGTGGTAAAGAAGTACAACGTTCTGGATGAAATGCTAACACTCACTTTCGAATTGAAGATTGCTACCTGTCGGTTAACTGGAACTGATGTAATACACTGTATTCGATCGAAGAATTGATACGCAAATGATTATCTCAAATACGGGGATTGCATGTTCCAAAAAGGCTTTCTATAAATCGATGGTCGAAATCATTAATACAGCACAAAACTTACTTGAGGGCCAGAGATAGGAATGGCGAACAGTGAGTTTATTTAAATCTCTACCTGGATGGCAGATAATTGTTGATAAGCCCTAGAGTAACTGAGATAGTAAGAATCTTTCACCTTAGCCAACCACTGTATCCATTCGACAGGAGGGTCTTTGTATGTTAAAGGATTTAAAAGAAATTGGTGGGTGACAAGAAGAGCTATAGAAACAAAATAAGGTTCAAAGTTAAAAAGTATGCTCTAGAGACGAGTCTTTTCATCAGGACTAGTGGAGTCTCCCAAATAATGTTTCCATATGCCCGCTATATATAAACCACACTTTTCATCCGGCGATTGCTTTCGAGATCTAATTTGTGTCCATAAATCAAAATCAAGATACGAAGGAAGAAACCACGACAATGTATCTCCAGGAAAAAGATCTAGAGCGATCTACGAATATTACATCCAGAACACGGTACTTCTTTTACACAACCACCCCAATGCTCGTAACATACACAAAAAACATACATCAGACAACTGCAATACCAATATTAGACTAAAATCCAATTAATTCAAACTTATGTACCTCATTAATAAATGTGTTTCGGATTGCGATATGGGTAAAAGGAAGATAGGTAATTAAATTAAAACATATGATATACTTAACCTAAAAAGAAACGTGTTTACTGTAATAGCCCTACTATTACCGTCCCACGTTTCTGATTGATAAAAATAAACGTAAATCGACTATAATGAAAAAAATAAAATAAATCCAAATTCCACTGCACTTACAATTGATTTTTTTATATTAAATATTAATTACTCAATTACTTACATCTATCCTGAATCTGAATACTATTTAAATTTACTTAATATAATACTTAATTAAATACCTACAGCAATGAATATAATGGCTACTAAATTATAACTAGCCTACCTACCATTCGCCGAAAACAATTATAAAATGACAAAATCAAAATTTAATATAAATCAGTTCCTAGGTAAATAACTTTTGATAAAAATAACTTACAATTTAGACATTGGTATTCTTCTCCTTTTGAGATGGTGTGATTTAGATTATTCTCAATCTTCGTCTATTAATTCTCATCGCGTAATCCAAATTGAACAACAATTTCCTAGCGCGCATTTCGTACTTTATATAATTTCTGAACGGAAGTCTTTCAATCGCACGTTAAACTGAACTGCAGTTGCTTTTTTGCAAGATACTCATGATTAATACTTTCCGAACAATTCACTATTCCAGAACGACCAACTTGTTCCTGGTTAAAAGACACGAGTTTAACCTAAAACGCGCAACAAATTCTATTTGGTTTGGACTTTTTTTACTTAGGTGGCCCGTAGCCGCGTTTTCCGCAGCGACACTCGCCCGTGCGAATATCTGCGAAAAAAGTCTACTAAATTTCTGATCATTTTGTTTTTATATCGCGAGTAAACCAACGCCCGTAATTAACACTCCCAAGGATATACCGGAAATAAACAAACTCATAATTTTTTAGCCTCGCTGTTTTATTACATATTTTTCTTAGAATCGATTGCGTCTTTTAACCAGTGACCTTTTTTAAATCACGTACTAATCGTTAACTAGCCCAAAATAGGAAGTATAGAACCAATAACTTATCTAAAATTTCAAGATATTTGAAACGTAATTACACTGGAAAAGCAATATATACATATGCAGCGATAGTCAGGCTCCCCTGCGAATAGAATAGAATAGAGACACTGGAAAAAAATTGTTTGTTAATTTTAATGAAAACTACAACTTCCCAGAAATCTGAATTATCGATACGCACTTCTACCCGAATATAATTTTGAAATCTACAAAAACTTGAAAAATTTAACAAGCTTCCGTTACATCACGAATTAAGGAATCCTATAAAAATAACTTTACCTCGAAAAGATACAACCATGCTCTATCACGTAAATACGCTTAGATAAATAATTTAGATAATTTTAGCTTGATGACTGAAATTTTCGCAAAATAACTTGTCATTTCAACGACCAAAGCAAAAGTGATATTTTCTCAATTCCAACTACTCCTAACACACTAAGGGCGCATTCAGACAGTCACCCAAACAAAGAACATTCAACGAAACAACGGGATCTTACATTGAACAACCCGGTTTGGATCGGGAATTAATATTTTTTTTAATAAATTATTTTAGAGCTATTTATTTAATCTGTTACAAATCATTATACCTGATTATAATTTTAGTTGGCATAGTAACAATAATAAAAAGAAGTATTGTCAATTTAATGTTTTGAAGGAAAATATAATATTAATGTAATCCTTCTTATTAACATTCCTGTATTCTACCACTATCCCAACATAATCTGGGCTAGACGGCAAAGTGATTGTTTACGTCCGGCTTCAGATAAAACATAACAAGTTAAAAAGTAATCGTAAACGATTTACATAAAGCGCATTTCCACTTGCATTCATTTCCCATTTGTAAGATGCAACTTCTGTTAAAATCGTAAAAATCCGGCCACAAATATGAAAGATAGCGTTGCACATGGGCAATCCATTTTTGACGTGCTACTTCAATTTCAGTTTATGAGAAGAATTTCATTTCAATGCTTTTCTAAATAAGAAAGTTGGAACTGCGCATGCGCAAACCTAAATTTTAAAACTAATGTTAAATTTTCCTTTGTTCCAAGCGCCTAAGTATCAAATTTCACTTAAATAGTTCCATAAAAAGTTGGCACTGCGCATGCGCAAAACCAAATTTTGAAATTGGCGTTTGATTTTCTTTATCCCAAGTGCCTATGTATCAAATTTCGTTTAAATTCTTCCATAAATAAAAAAGTTGGCACTGCGCATGCGCAAAACCAAATTTTGAAATTGGCGTTTGATTTTCCTTTATCCCAAGTGCCTATGTATCAAATTTCGTTTAAATTCTTCCATAAATAAAAAAGTTGGCACTGCGCATGCGCAATACCAAATTTTGAAATTGGCGTTTGATTTTCCTTTATCCCAAGTGCCTATGTATCAAATTTCGTTTAAATTCTTCCATAAATAAAAAAGTTGGCACTGCGCATGCGCAAAACCAAATTTTGAAATTGGCGTTTGATTTTCCTTTATTCCAAGTGCCTATGTATCAAATTTCATTCAAATACTTTTATAAGTAAAAAGTTTGCAATTCGGTTTATAAATGGTCGAGATGCGAAAAGGGCACTGTGAATTTTGAATCGATTCGATTCAACTTTTGGCAATTGCGTATTATATGGCTAAAGCTATGCCCATATTGAATTTCATGCAATTCAGTTCATAACTAACGGAGATGTAAAAGCGATCGAACATTTCTAAACAAAGTTATCGTTCACACGGACAGATAGATGGACAGACAGACAAAGGAACAGACGGAGAGACCAACCGGCAGGCGACAGATAGCAATGCAAAATTATAAACGATCTCTAGGATCGTTAATAAACGGCAAAAGTGTAAAATTATGGAACATGTAAAAAACGGTTTTTTGTTTTTTTTACAATAACTTTTTTTGTAAGCGGTACAGAAAAAATTCCTTCCTTGGTACAAGACTCGACACCATAACGAACCAAATAGCGAAAAAAGTAGAACAATAGCTCTTAAGATAAAGAACTAGTAGCGTCGCAAAACGAGCGGACGGACGGACGGACAAAGTGGCCACAATAGCGCATTTTTTTTTTATTTTTGTGGAAATGCGCTAAAAATAATAAATGAAAATTTGCATCCACTATAATAGGAATGTTATCACCGTATTTGCGGACGCTCAACGGTCCGAGGGTAAATAGTTGGCAACTGTCTTGAGTCTTCTTGTGGTTTTTCAATTCTTCAGGATTACTTGCCTATTTACTTTCTTATCTTGTAGAATAATATTACATTTGTTGAGAACTTGTAGCGAAACTATAATTTCAAACTGGGCCCAAATGACGCTACTTTAATTCTCCGCTGAATACTAAACTTAGCTTCCGAGAGAGAGAGCAAAGAAGTCAAAGATATACGCTTTAATAAATTTCATCTTGAGACGGCTTCTTGAACGCAAATGGCTATTCTGCCCCTTGGGTCGGTTTCCAATTGGACACTGTGGAGCAAAATTACCCTCTTCTGTGTAGAAATAGCGATTACATTTTATTTTACATAGCGGGTCAGTTATTCTACCCAGCAATAATCAAAATTTCAATACAGCGGCGGATGCATCTAAATTTGCTAATTATATTTCAGCAGACGTCCGGGTACAGCTTTGAATTCAAATTGTCCTATAAATTCCTGCGGATGCGAGAGGCACGCATTCGCTACGGAAATGGAACACAAAGATCATATCGTGGCAAACTTCATACAGGAACGTATTGTGATCGCTTATTAGATGGATGTAGTCGGCGGCCGTGTCGAATTCAATCCCCGAATTATCCCGGCATATATCCCCGGAACGTGACATGTCACTATCGCATAAGGGATAAACATGCACCTCCCGGAAAACACGCACTGATCGCAGTCCGCCAAGCGAATATACCATACAAAGAGCAAACGCCCAAGTTTTCCACAAACGAGCGCGTTTTCAGGTGAGCGAAATTGCTACAAATTCCTCTAATGCGCTTCCTTACAGGATATGGGATCGATGCAACGTGATGCAGGATTACATCGAAATAACCGACGGCCTCGACGATTCCGCTCCCACATTAGCGCATCTGTGCAGCGGAGAAACCGTTTTGGAAATCGTAAGCAGTGGCCCAGAAATGCTCGTTAAATTTCATACATCTCCGTATGGAAATCCATTTCATCCATTACCCCTTTCGTATTTGCCCGGATTCGAATTGGAAGTCGAGGTGGGTATCGTCTAACGCAATTTATCTTAACTAATTCGCCCTTTAACATGGACAGGTATTTTATGTGAAAAAAGAATCGCCGGCGTACGTCGAGCACGGAAAAAAATGCGAATTTATCCTAACGACTTTCGATAACTCCTCTGGATTACTGGAAAGCCCTCGCCATTCGTTACCTCCCAACACAACCTGTCACTATCACTTTAGAGGGCAACCTCAAGAGGTTGTATGGATTTCTTTTATAAAATATCACGTCACCGGCGAGAGATTGGGAGATTACGATAAGGGAGATTGTGACGTACAACTACGCGTTTGGGATGGAGATTTAAAAGCAGACGGCGACGCCGTACCGCTTATTGGCCAATTTTGTAAAGACGATAAACCGAAGTTATGCGACCATTCTCTCTTAAGTAATTCGACGAGATTAACGAGACCTTGCGGAATATCCGAGAGTTACGTATCATCCGGACCCGATCTCACCATTGCTCATTCGATACGTTATGGCAACGTTTTGTATCCTGTCAGTTTCATTTTAAGATACGAATTCGTCGATTTCTCTCAGGAGGGTAGTCAAGTATCAAATCCGTGCAATAGAATATTTACGGCGCCTACGGGGAAGTTTTATTCGCCAAAAATAACATTCTTATACGGAAGAGGTGGGCAACAGAATTTAAATTGCGCTTACCATTTCGAATCGAATGAAAAGCAAGGGTTGAAGGTATCGTTCCATAAAGCTAGATTTGGCAATAAAAGTTGCTCCTCGAAGTTTGATCCCGAGAGCAGCCGGTGGAAATGTCACGTTTACGATTCGGATATTGATGGAATTGCCCAGATACAACTTCTGGAGTATCCCTGGCCGGGTATCGAAATTCCTCGCGATTGCCTTTGCGGCAACGTATCAGAGCCCGTTTTTATTTCGACGAAGACCGCCAGAAAAGTGGTCATCAATTTTATTGTGACCAATATGAACATTACAGAGGATTACAGCGATTACTTCTTCGACGCCACCTACGAATTTATATCCTTGCAGTCGGAAAATTCGTGTGTCAATCCCTGGCAGAGCAGAAGACTTCGTGGATCTAGCGGTGAAATTACGGTACGAAACGTGGTCCAAAGCACGGAGACGATTGAGAACGTAAATCAAACGATGCCGCTCTGCGTACACCAGCCTTGGTTAATCGAGCCGGAAGACTCCTACAATAACTTCATTTACCTAAAGATCAAGGGAGCGGAACTGAAAAATGACACGAAGTGTCCCACCAAGAACAGAATCCTAGTGTACGCGCCATCGCGCGCGAACTTTATGCACGTTATTTGCCCTTCTTATTACGATTCTGCCCACCGCGTCGTTGAATTATTTTCGGAAGGCTGGAGTTTGTTCTCCTATCGTTACATGCAGACGGAAAACTCACGAAGCTTCGTAATAGAGTTCCTGCAACGTGAGCCGGGAAATTTCGCCGTAAATTGGATGGAAGTATCAAAGAATCCCGCTCTAACTCTACCCACGTCTCTACTTATGATCAGTCCACCCGACTGTCCACACAGGTAAGTTCCCTATTGAGTATTACGAATAGTTTTCAATTGATCTGCATTAATCAAATAGTACGGGTATGAGTCTTGCATGTAAGTCTCACTTTAAAAAGATGGTGACTAGTAGAAATGACCCACCATGACGCCAATCGTTTGCGGATTAATTGTTGGAATTAATTTAATTCGGAGAACTATTTTGATGATTTCGGGGAATTTTAACTAATTTCGTGGAATTTGGATTTCATCTATTGCTGTGTGTAATGGCAAACGGTCAAGGACATTTATTTGCGCTACACATAAAGTGACAAAACTGAAAGAGGCTCTCAGGGCCTGTTTACTGATACCATGCATGCAAGCGATTGATAGACATTTAATAAAAGAAATCTTCATTACTTATAATTTTTAATAATTCAATAAACTGGTCGTTAAGTGCGATATTCTGGGACACAAAGAACTAAATCATTTTCTATTACACTTTATCTTGATAACACGAACTGGCTTTGTTAAATTTGATGATTAAATTTGTAACTTCTCAAATGGTGGAACACTTTTACTTTAAACGACAAAAAAACCTCCAAAAACCAAAAGTCTCATTATGTACTGAACGGCTTGATCAACACATACTCAAACCGGATGCAGATAAAGCACTTAAAACTTCTCTCGAGGTCCATGAATTCCTATAATGATGTACATTAAATCAACCAACTTTATTCAATAAACAAACCTCACTATCAAAAATACAAACGCCTTCCTAACATCCAACAGGTTGACTGCCCTAGCACCCAAAAAAAACAGCGTTTAAAACGTGTACTAATACTGTCGGACCATCACCGCAAAAGTGCCTCGTTTTTCGTTATACTCTCGTATTTAAAGGATCTCCTCTCTTCCACCTTACAAAATCTCCTTTAAGATTTCGTAAACGAACCGCCGATTAAATCCAAATTTGATTAAACTGCACACTTGCTGTTTTCTTATCGGCTATAACACGTGCTTGTCTTGAAACTAATTAAATTCCACCTTACGCAACGCGATCACAAATGTTCTTATCGCAATGGCCAGATAAACCTTTTAATACGACGCGCAAATACGACCTTTTAGTTACTTATAATGCCACCAATTTGAACAAAACTTAAACATTTAATAATTCTTATACAAAACAACGTTGAACTTCAAATTTAAATAAAAAGAACGAAGTCCGTGTTTAATTCAAAAGCAGCAACAAAATCTACACTTGCACATACAGGGCGACGTCTGCATAACGTTAATAACACAACAGTATTAATATTCACATTATGTAGAAACCATCCGAAATATTGGCACAAGTTTTTACGAATTCAACTTCTTCGATTGTTTGTGTTTTGTTTAACGCCCATCTAATTTTTAATAATTTAAAATCATTCTCTCGTACATATTTTTGACGAGTTTACGATATTTAATTTAACAGAAAAAGAAATAAACTTATTTTCGGTCGATCTAGCTTGTGAAAGCGGCGTCAGTCAACCTGGATATGGAGTTCGGCGGAACGATATGGAAATCTCGAGCGCCACCGGAAGGTTTCAACCCTTGCTTTCGTTCAAGGGCGGCGGTTGCGGACGGAAATTTGGAACACACGATAGTCAGACGGAGAAACGGAAAACTTTAGGGATCTGGCGGGCAAATGGTGGCGGTCGCTGGCGAATATCTAAAACAAAACCACGGCCGCGGACACGGTAGCGATTTCTCAAGCGGAAACGGACGCACAAATCAAATAATTGTACTTACTAGCTGCGGAAAACTGGAACAAGGAAAACGAACCCTTGTTTACGCTTAACAGAATGAAAATATCAAGAAATTAATGGGTACATTTAAATGCGAAATTTACCAAAATGACATGAAGCCCTAAATCGTGCTGTTACCTTATATTAATTTCCCAAAATACGGAAAGAGAACGTCGAAAATTCCGGCCGGCCGGCGGACTCGGTTGATAACACCCAACAATTAAAACTTTTTGATTTAATTACCAAGCTCTCTGACGTCCTAAAATTCGGGGACTAATCTTGAAATTCATGTTAATGAAGCGTGCTTCTAATAATACTAGGGCCAATCTAATCAGACGAAGGTTTCTGCAACACATTTGATTAACTACGGTTAATTATACTCACCCAAATGGCCGGATTAAAATTTTCAAATTCGGTAGCCTAGTAATGTCCAATGTTACCTGGAACTCGGGGCAATCGCAAAAGGGCTGCGATAATGAAATAAACTGCACGGCCTTAACGACAGTCGCTGTACCGGGATCGCCAGCTTTACATGCCTTCCGAAGTCAGGAGATATTCTCTGCCACTAAACACTGGCAAGTTGTGGTATTCGAACTCACCAGGTTAAGAGTCCGAGTCCGGAGAACAAGAAAAATCGACATTGATCCGCTTTACCATCGAGTTAAACCTCATGAAACAATAGCTAAGATAAGAACCCATATTACTTTGCTAAGATACCAAGAACACGAAGCTGGGATAAGAACCCATTTTACTTTAGCCAAGATAAGATCTAGTTTTTTAAGTGAACGGTTTCTTTCGGAATTAACCCGATTAGTATAAAGTACGCCAACAGAAAAATGCAATTGCAAGGATGATTTGTTTTTCAAATGCATCTGGAAATCACTTTTCCAATTGTATTGTAAAGAAATACTTATTAAGAGCTGTTAGTATCCGGTAGTCTACAGACGCGTCAACAGTAGCATAATATTATTATCAGTCTTATCAGCCTCTCATCATCTCCTAAAGTTTACGCAATTATCAGTGCATCCCTTTTACGTGTAAATATTTGTGAATTTGGAAATAATTATCGATTTGTCGATAGATATCGATATATTGACAGTAATCAAAATAAGGTTTCCCGTATATATTTCTGGAAGGATATGGATTCTCGAAAATGAGGCTTTCTAATAAGATTTCTAGTAATGGTTTCAAGAAAATGCCCAAAAAAACACTTTACAAAAAATTACGAAGATGGTTTTGAAGGAGGTGTTCAGGAAGGGGATTCTGCAACAGGTTTCAAAGATTTTTATTTATTTCGAAATATGTTTTCGCGAATTTTGATGCCTGGCAAGAAAATTCCAGATATCTTCCATGCTTTGAGAGGGTTCTACAGAAGTCGTAAAGGTGTCTTCAAGCTTGTGAGATAAATTCGCCCTGGAATATTCGCCGTGGAAAATTAGTCCGTGGAAGAATAGCCTTCGTCTTCAAAATATTCGTCACCGGAAAATTCTCTCTGGAGTATTTGCCCGAAAGATTGGGAAAAAACTCACTGTCGGATTATTGCCCCCAAGAAAAATCGCCCCTGGGGTCCCCAGAAGACTTGCCCTGCCCTATGAAGAGTTGCAACTGTTTTGGGCGATTATGCCGAAAGGGTTTTCCTTTTGGATTGAATTTGTCTGGGGCGAATATTTTTAAGGGCTAACTTGGGATGACGAAGTTTCGTGAGCAAATTTATCGATGCTTGTTATCCTGCACATTGTACGCCTATTTATGTTAAACCCTCGTTATTGTCTCGCACCCGTTTTCCAAATAAAGCAGTTTTTTAAACAAAATAAAGTCTTTAGCTTACGACCTTAAACGCATAAACTAATAATTTATGGCGTGGGATATAAACAGGTTTCGGTTATGAGACTAAAGCGGTAAAGGGGAAAAATTTACGTTTCTAGCGTGCCTCATTGTTTATGTTGTTCTTAAGGAATGGCTATTGAGCTTATAAAGAAAGCGTTCGGGAGGTAGTATGAAAAATATTGATTTGGATTGTCTTTGAACAATGTTTCGTTACATTTTTAAGAAATTGGAATGTCCAAAGTGCTTTGCATGCAAAAAAAACCGGATGGCAGTTGGTAGCCCCTAAATACACTATCTATTTCCGGCGCGAATTTTCAGTAGTTTTAATTCAAACTTCAAATCCATTTTCCTTTGGACCTCCTTGAAAACGTTGAAAAAGAAAGAAAAAAACTGTAAACTTATCGCTTATTTTTCAGTTGTCCCGAGCTCGGCGCCTGCATCAGCTCCGACCTTTGGTGCGATGGTCTACGCCATTGCCCCTCCGGAAACGACGAGCACGAAATCAATTGCTCACTGCACGGCGGTTTTCCGGTGTCGCCGATTGTTTCGGCGATCGCGCTGGCCATCCTGGCCACGGTAATAATATCGATAATATCGTTCTGTTACTGTTGGAGGTACTGGAAGCGCGAACAGAAAGGAACCATCATTTCCGTTACCGAACATACCTTTCTAGAGTTTAAGAACGGTCTCTGCTAAGACATGGAAGTTTTGTTCTAGTTACTAATCTAAGCTTCACTTGTGATGTAAATTTTTTTTAAGGATGGTGCTCGGAAACTATTTTGTCTACTCTTGTCCAAGAATTTGCCAAGTAAATTTAAGTGAGATTTTTTTTGCACTTAGCACTCAGTTAGGTACAACGATTTTCACCGTTCGTTTTTCAAATTACTGAATAGTGTGATTTTGATTACAAACAAGGGCTATAAGTAGGGGGCTGTTAACTCGATATACCTATTTTTGACTTGCATCTAATTTTGTAGTTAGTGACTAAGAAAAGAGCTTTGGAATATGTATAGTACAAGGCAAAATATCGTGCAATGACTGACAATATTGTATATCTGTTGTATATCTACAAAGTTTTTATGGTAATCGGTAGGAATAAAGTACGTAATTCAATAAACTGTGTGCGTCTTTTTATATCCTTTTTTTCCATTTCACTTTATTTCTCGAGAAACGACTTGTTGCTAAAATAAACGTCGCAATAAGGTGATTTGTTGTGCGTTACCAACATCTACCTCATAAATTTCAAATTTGAGAAGAAACTTGTAGCAGTTTGAGTCCAAATCTAAAACATCGTATCCAATCGGATCCGTGGTATCTTCCTTCCTTACTGGATTTGTACGGATTTAACTTTCCTTATGTCAAGGTGCGCCTTTGTTGATAATGGACGCTTCCATTACGTTAAGTAATGAACAATTCCGAAAACTATTAAGTAGATAGGCCTGTGGCGGAGACGATTGTCAACTTTTCAAAATGTCTCTCCCGATTTGACGGAGCCAAGGACAGCGACGTAAATGCGTTTATTGACGTCGTGCAAATATACAAAGATTGCGTGTGCGTTTCGGACGAAAATGCTCTTAAGGGATTTCACACGCTATTAGATGAATTCACGGCTACGTGGTTTCAAGGGGTATGAAAAACCCTAGACGACTGGAAAAGTGCGGTCGATTTGCGGCAAACCACTTTTCATCCCAAAAGACCAGATTACCGCGTATATCGTGGGTTGTTCGCGCGTGAACAGAACTCAAAGACAAATACAGATGTATGCATTTGAAAAGCTCGTTCTATTATTACCAAATGACACTTCAGGTAAGCTATCCGAACGGACATGGTATACGGTATTTTACATTGCCACATATCAGGAAAAGGTTACGCGCGCTTTGGTGAATAGATTTACAAAACTTTTAGAAAAAGCGAAAGAGATTTTTGATCCTGCGGCCGACAAACCGTTATCGTTTTTAAACTCTGAAAGTGCTAAGAATAAAAGAAGTGTATGTATTGCAAAGATGTTGGACATTTAAAGAAAGAGTGCCTACTTGCAAAACATAACCAAGCATGCAATCGTAGTGAGGGTAGGTACATTTAAGCTTGCTAAATGCGACAAAGTAACTTCCGGTTGACGAATAATGACCAAAATTTAATCGATTATTCCCTTGACCATTGTTTACCTATTGCTAAAAACAGAATTGGAAAATTCGGAACCATTAGTGAGTTATCGTGTCCACAGACGGACGAATGGACGGACGGACGGACGGACAGAAAGTCCAAAATCATAAACTCGCTTTTTGTTGCTCGTTAATAAACGCAATCCCTTCAAGTTTTTGTGACGCCCATTTATCTTAGACCCTCGTTATTGCGTAACATGCCCTTTTTTCGAATAATTTTACACCAAAACAGAGTCGCTAGCTTACGATCTAAAACACCGAAACTAATAATTTCTGTCGTAGGGTACAAACATAATTAGGTTATGAGACTAAAGCAATAAAGGCGAAAAATTTACGTTTGTAGCATGCTTGATTGTTTCGGAATTGATATTTAACTTGTAAAAAAAGCGTTCGAGAGGTAGCCAAACATACCCGTTTCTAATTAAATTTAGTGCGAATATCAATAATTCACTACAAGGAAAATTCTTTTCAATTAACGTTAATTGATTGGATTAGAGATATAATATTTGCAAGTAGCTGTAATCCTATATAAATCTGCGGGTATCTGATATGAATAAATGCAACAAATGGGTGCGTTAGTGAGGGACGGATTCATTAAATTAAAGTTATGAACTACAGATTTGTGTATGTGCCATTTTAGTAATAAAAATTCATCCACTGTGAAACTACGCGTTTATCTGTCAATTATTTGTAATTGGAAATAGAATTAAGTTTGCTAATTACGCAAGCTGCTAGTGAATTATATTAACTTGGCTGAAAGGATGAATTATTTCTTTATATTGCTCTTATAAAAAAATTCACATTTTTATTTTATCACTTCATGAATATGCAATGAAGTGTTTCAAAGAAAGTTATACTGGTTTTGGTGAGTTTACTGCTGCTGACAGTAGGGCCAAAGAGTGCCTTAAATTTTGCTTTCTGTAGAAAGCAGATCTGAGTGGAACCACGCCTATTATGAAAAAGACATTATAATTATTCTACCAGTGGAGTCTCCAACGGCCCTAATACTAGTCCGCGTTTCCGTGGTTAATCGGAGTAGTGCCATTTATGCGTTAGACCAAAATTTAAGGGCTCAGTCAACGAATAGAACAAGTATAAACTCGCTTCCGGCTTCATAATTTATTGGGAAACATAAAATGGCATACAAAAACAAAAAATCTAGCCCAAAAGAGTGAAAAGCCGGATGCGGTTCCGGCCGGTTACGCCCAGACGGGTTTAACTGTAGAGATGGCGCAAGTAGTGTAGAAAATGCTTAGTAGGCAACCATCTAAATACGCGACGGATAACTCGGAACCATTGTCTACGTTCGAGGAAACCTAACAGGGTTTCAGGCACCCAGGTGTTTTACTATCACGAGAATTTAGAACGTGTAATATCCGGTTGTAGCAGGCTGCGTTTGCTTATATGCGAGTGTGTGGTATCTCGCGCGTTGGTTTAGATTACTACACGGACAGACGGAAACAAAGTCCAAAATCATAAACTCGCTTTTTGTTGTTAGTTAATAGACGAAATCCCTTCAAGTTTTTGTGACGCCCATTTATGTTAGATCCTCGTTATTGCGTAACATGCCCCTTTTCCGAATAAGCCAGTTTTACACCAAAACAGAGTCGCTACCTTACGATCTTAAACACAGAAACTAATAATTTATGTCGTAGGGTATAAACGGAATTAGGTCATGAGACTAAAGCAATAAAGGTGAAAAATTTATTTACGTTTGTAGCATGCTTAATTGTTTCGGTTGTTCTTAAGAAATGGATATTTAACTTATAAAAAAAGCGTTCGGGAGGTAGCCAAACATACCCGTTTCTAATTAAATTCGGTACTATATGAATAATTCACTACAAGGAAAATTCTTTTCAATTAAAGTTAATTAATTGGATTAGAGATATAATATTTGCAAGTAGCTATAATCCTATATGAATCTGCGGGTATCTGATATGAATAAATGCAACAGATGGATGGGTCAGTGAGGGACGGATTCATTAAATTAAAGTTATGAACTACAGATTTGTTTATGTGCCTTTTTAGTAATTAAAATTCAACCACTGTAAAACTACGTGTTTATCTGTCAATTATTTGTAATTGGAAATGGAATTAAGTTTGCTAATTACGCAAGTTGCTAGTGAATTATACTAACTTAGCTGAAAAGATGAATCATTTCTTTATATTTCTCTTATAAAAGATTCACATCTTTATTTTATCACTTCAGGAATATGCAATGAAGTGTTTGCGCAGACGGGTTTAACTGTAGAGATGGCGCAAGTAGTGTAGAAAAAGCAGCTTAGTAGGCAACCATCTAAATACCCACAACAGACATAAAACTGCGTTTGTAACACCTCATTGAATGTATAGATTCATCCGCATGCCGTTCGGCTTAAAAAATGCACCGGCTACATTTCACCGACTGATGGATCGTTTCAAGGCGTATTCTTGATTGTTCATTTAGAGGATCTAATCCGTAATATCGGCGACTGTTGAATCTCATTTGGAAGGTCTGCGGAAGGTCTTCGATCGACTAACTGTGCACAAATTTAAATTAAACAGAAAGAAATGCGTGTTCTGTCAAGAATCCGTAGAGTACCTGGGCAATCTCCGAAAGGAAACCCATGTGAAACAGCTTTTAAGTTTTATGGAAACTTGTTCGTGGTTCTGGAGATTTATCGCAGATTTTGCCAAGATATCGAAACCACCCACTACTCTAAGTGCTAAGTGGATATGGAACCCGGAGCATGACCGTGCGTTCAAGCAGTTTAAGAAAACCCTCAGTAGTGCACCCATACTGCAGACGGGGAATCTCGCCCTTCATTTTAATCACGAACTCTTATTCTTATCTAATCCGTTGCCCAGCAGAAAAACTGATTTGGAACCGACGCAATAATCGCGACTCGCTCGAATTATCGCAAAGCACAAACGTTGAGGTAAACGAAGCCGATTGGCTAATTTGGTAAACTTTTAATGAATACTGCAAAATGGTAATAACACTAATACACTGGGGTTATTAATTTCTCCCCGCTCAACGCCGCAATAACATTCTGCGCCGCTAATCTTGCCATGTCGGAACGTGTCTGCTGAGTGGCACTTCCCAGATGGGGCGACAAGACTGGAAAACGAACAGTTAGCTGTTATGATTCCTTTCGCGTTTTACGTACAGCAATTTGGTAATTGAACGAGCTCGTGATCGCTGGGTAGTGGTTCGGGTACCATCACGTCGAGCCCGGCCGCAAATATTGTATTCTCTTTCAACGCCTTCACCAAGGCAGCTTGATCGACAAGCCCTCCTCTTCCGATGTTCACAAAGATCGACGTACTCTTCATTTTCTTGAAGGCTGTTTCGTCGAACATTTCTTTTGTTTCGGGCATCAGTGGGCAAGATGCGATTACAAAGTCGCTTCGACTCAGGAGGTCATCGAACGTTACAAACTCCGCGCCCAGCTCTTTTCCTACAAATTGTAAATAGGTCAAACTCTTACTCAGTAGGTCGGTCGCAGACCTTCCGGTTTTTCTGCTCGACCGCAGTATACGAATTTATGAACTTCGAAAGCTTTGAGACGTTTAACTATGGCCTTTCCAATCTCGCCTAGTCCAACGATTCCAACGGTGGATCCTTTCAAGTCTTTTCCTAGCATCCATCGGAGGTTTGGAGCCCAGGTGTTACTGCGAGGAGTAAAATCTTTACTTGACTACGTGCTTTGTACAAATATACCTACTTTTGAATGTGCATTTGCCCTTCGCGTAGTCTTCTCGACGCCGCTAAGGCCAATAGAACTGCGATATCGGCAACGGCCGCATTTAACACGCCAGGAGTATTACTCAACTTAATATTCCTCCGCTTCAGTTCCTCCACGTCGATGTTATCCAATCCGGCGGACATTGCCGCGACCACTTCCAACTGGGGTCCTTAAATCAGTTCTGATTAAACACGCAAGTTGGAAGGTGTACGACCCACCT